GACTACGGAGGCTGCTAAATTCTAGCGTTATTCTTATGTGTGTTTGGCCGGGACCAAGTGAAATGTATGTATGATTAGGAAAAAATGTAAAATCCAAGATCATCAAATATCAAAGTTTTAACCAGCACACCTGAGAGCATTACTGACAGAAAAATTTCTGACCTTCTAAATATTGGGGATATTGTTCTTATTGAAAGTCCAATAGGGAAACAAATAGTGCACTAAAAGACCAAGCGTTCCCTCTCAGTAACATGTTCATCTTTCAAGAAAGTGTGGGCTTGAGGTCATGGAAGACTGTAGTTGCCAATTTTTTTTTTTCAGCATTTGTAAAAATATTTGTTGTCCTGAAATGTCAGAGGTTCTAGATGACACATTAATTGAATTCAGTCTCTAGATGATCAGCAGTAAATAATTTACATTTAATGAATTCAGGAAGCCAGGTGGGACAAGGAAGGAATTTAAACAGGAAACAATTCTTTTTGGAAAAGGGAATGACAGTCATCACTTTGGAAGAGCTCTTATTTATGTAAGGGAATCAAATCAGAATTTAAGATGGTAAGAGTTTGTTAGTGATAGGATGTTTTATATAGAGTTTGTAATATTGTAAATGTTTTTCATCCTGTATGATGGACATGGATTGAGGTGTTTGAGACCAAATTATTGAGGAGAGAGAGTATTTGTACATAAAAGAGAGGAGTTACCTGGTGGAAGGGAAAGATTTCATAAAGAGGTTCATAATTTGTTCTCATCATCACTTGTTTTGGTGGTCAGATAAAGAAGGAAGTGATGGGCAATACATGTAACATGCATGGAGAGCTGAGAAATATACACACAATTTTAGGAGAAGAATTGAAAGAAAGAGGTCAATAAGGAGCGATAGACATATGCGTGAGGATAATATTAAAATAGATCTTAAAGAAGTAGAGTATGAAGGTGTGCATTTGATTCAGCTGGCCAAAGATGTGATCCAGTAGTGATCTGTGAATACTGTAGTGAACCATCAGGTTTCATAAAAATGCAGGTAATTTATTGCCTTGTCGAGTGACTGTCAGCTTCTTAAAGAGGACACTGCTGCATGGAGTTGATTGAATGTTCATTTTTATTGAAGATGTTTATTTTGCAGTGGAAAACTACTTAGGAATCTGAAGTGGTTAAATGGTATGAATTTTATTTTTTTTTGTTAGGATATTGGAGGAACTCAGGCAGCAGAATTTGTGACAAGGGTCAACAAAGTCAGAGAAGCTACTTCGACTATTTCCAGGCAACTAAATTCCTTCCCTCTTGGTGGGTGGGATTATGATACTTTTCCTGCCCAAGAAGAGTGCTTGAAGGTATGTTTGTCTCATTCAGTAGCATGGTAGGAAATGTGACATAACTTTTTTCCTTTGTTGGCCAGTGGGCATTTCCACTGGAGTCTCATAGTATAGCAGATGCTTCTGTAGTTTATGTTATAAATAGTGGATCTCACTAATGATGGTGCACATACTGGCAGTCGATGCATACTGGGCAAACGTGTCAAAATTCAAAAGCTGCACATATGCCGCTGCATTGTTTGTTTCTGTGTTGAAGTTAAAACCACACATGATGTTACTGGCAAACATGTTTTTGGAAAATAGGAACTGAGTCTCACGGTATGCATGTGTAGACATACGTATGTCAGCATTTCAACATTTGTAAGCCCTCTCTTTGTAACAAATGCATTCCTGTGCAGTTTCTTCTTCCTTATACCACAAATATGAATGGTAACTAGTCAGCAGTGTTATGGTAACATAAGAGAAAACTAACTTTTTAAATTGATTCTGATATGCTGATCTCAAATCTGGACACCACAGAAATTTCTCTCCATGTTACTGTTTTGTGCATTGAATTTTGAGCCAGTACAGGACATTTTTTCACTTTGGTATTTGCTATTAGTGTTGTTATAAGTTTTGTCTATGATACTATGAGAATGCTTTTATTAGTTAGTAAAAGAATTTATTTTAATTTAAATGATATTTCAAAATGTATATAGTAAGTGGTGTGTATGTTCATATGTTTTGCATAGAAAGCTTTTTGTAATGGGTCCAACTGGGTATAATTCTCTCTCTGTTTAACCTGATGATGTAAATGGGTCCACTTTCTGAAACATTGTATTTGAAAGAAACAAGAGTAATGGACAATATCCAAAATAATAGCCATTTTTGTATTTGTAGGGTGTTCCTCATATGTGATCATTGAATGAAGTTCAGTTGATTGTAATTTTGGTTTCAGAAAGTGAGAGAGAGTCTTGGCGCATTGAAGCCAAGTGTAGATGAAATTGAATATGATCGTGATGGTGTGATGAGACGGGCAAAAAGAGAACAGGGCGATCAAGTGAGACGCGTTGTGGATAAACTGCGAGAGGAGTGGTCACAGGTCAACAGAGGTTACACTGAAAGGCACAAGTACGTACCACAGAAATTCTTGAGAAATGAACATCATGAAAAAACACAATTAAATAAAATATCTATGTTAGTTCATGATATGCAGAAAATTTTTCACTTCCGTACTGTTGGTAGACTGGTAAATTATGAAGAATCAGTTTTATTATGATTTCTTTTTT